GGAGGAGGAGGAGGAGGAGGAGGAGGAGGAGGAGGAAGAGGAGACTGCAGGGGGAGGGAGGGCACGCATCTCTAGAACTCAAGGTACAACCAGGCAGGGCTGGGAATTTGGGAACTTGACCTTGGGGTGATTCAGAAACAGACAATGGAGAGTTAAAGAAAAGACTGAACCCCAACTGGGTGATCCAAACCCAGGCATCTTCGTGACGCCACACTGCGAGGCGACAAAGGATGCCCACGGATGCTGGGTTCTCGGGGGAAAGATGCACAAGCTGGCACTTTTAAAGCTTAAAGGCAGATGTTCTGAAAAAAAATTCCTTCGTTCCCGGCATCTGTGGAGATAGTGGGAACAGAGGCCAGGTCACTTGCAAAGCTGGACAGTCGGACATCGGCCAGGACAGATGCCTACACCAACCCAGAGCAAACTGCTGGTGTGCCCTGGAGCAGGGCCTGCCCTCAGCTATTCCTAACCTCGTCACAGCTTGCTGGGACCTCTGCCACCAGGTGGTCACCCACCATCGCCCACCCGTGTTTACCCTGGTGCATGGCAGTGTCTCAGGACAACAAAGACGACCTTGGCCTTGGGTGTGGGTCCAGAAAGGATGGACTTCATATCCTTAATTTAGAACAACATGAACACTTGGGATTCCATATAACACCCAGTACACTGGAACAACTTTGCCTCCTCCAAATGCTTCCTAAGAGTTAGTTTTGTGAAATAATACATTTTATCACTTGTTTCCGAATCTCTGCTAACACGGAGGCTTGTGACACGGTCCGAACGTTCTGCCCCTCTCGGGGGACGCACAGACCATCAAAATTTCATTAGCCTCCCAGCGGTGCCAGCGCTGCCTTCACGTGAACCGGTGGCCTCCTTATCAATAAGTAAGTGAAATTTAATCCCTGTTAGTGGCTAAACTCTTCTTTGAAGTTATAACTAGAACACCCGGCACTCGGCTTGCATAACTTTACAAATGTTGAATAACATTATTTTTCCTGGGGAAACCAGCCTTGTTCACGCTTATTTCAAATGATGAACCACAGTCAAGCAAACTCCCAGGCTCAACAGAATGAAAACAAGTCTGTGTCTGGTCCCCAAATTCCTCTCCTTTTGATAGGATGGCCCGCACATGGTCTTCCCCTTTCAACTTGACTTTCAAGGACATGACTCAAGCGCACACAGACCAGATACAATGGAACAATGACAGGAACCGGAAGCCAAAGGCAAATGGAACTGGAAAATGAATCGTCTTTCAAAGCTGGAGCAAGGGACACACCCGAGGAGGACAGAACTGGATTGTTTACAGTCATTGGAGGTCGGAAATATTTGACGAGAAGAAGCAGTGATGCTAAAACACTGTATGAAATAATGTTGAGGATATCTATATATATAAAAGGCTAATATGCAAAGTGTCCCCTCGAGAATTTGACATGAGACCAGGAGTTCGATCGCTCACTATGATGTACACTGACCACCAGGTGGCGGTGTGGAATGAAAGAAGGCCCTTGCCGGCAGCTGGAAGGGCCCCGATTGGTCCCGATTGCTGGCCAGGCCTACGGACCCTATCCATGCATGGTTCATGCACTGGGCCCCTAGTCCTATCCAATAAAAGAGAAACATCTGCTATGCTCACAAGCCATGCCCACCAGCCAATCAGGAGCAAATATGCAAATTAGTCCAACCAAGATGGTGGTTAATTTGCATATCCAGAAGTAGAGCAAAGACTGAAGGCAGCATAGAAGGAAGCCCAGCACTCTGCAGAAGGGAGCTAAGCTGCAGAGAAGCAAGCAAGCCGGGCAGGGGAGAAGGGAGGGAAGCAGACCGCTGCAGGAAGCCTTATTGCAGGAATCTTCCTGCAACAGGTCTCTAGTTATAAAACTGTGAGAAGACTGTGAGTATGATTGCACCGTTTAGTTTTTACCATAACCTAGCTTGAGGGGGGGAAAATAAGTCGTTTTTTTATAGGAGAAAAAAAATCCTAAATTCTCTTGTTTAATTCCATAACTCGAAATTCTAAGGTCCACCAAACACCTCAGAAAAGGATGCTTCCCCAGATCTTAACGTAATTAATTACTTGGAATGGAATCTGGTTCCTCCCGACTAGTCACCGGGAACCCAGGACAAATAAATTAATCTGAAACGTTTCCGTGGACACACAGCGGAAATCTAGGACACAGCAGTGGGCAAAGCGGTTGTATCTGTTGTATCTACTGCATTTCCTCTGTTGTTTTCTTCCATGAGCTGGCCTCCCTTGTTAGGAGTTCTCAGACCATCACTATGTTTACCAAACAACCACGGCCAAAGAGGACACACAAGCGCCCGCCATCACTGCCCCACTCAGCACACATTGCTTCTGACACTTCATCGCCTTCCCTTAGCGACCTGTTTACTCTCCACAAAAGCTGCCAAAGCTCAGCCTTTCAGGGTGAAGCCCTGGGCCCCCTCCCCAGCCTCTCCTGCCTCCTAGCAACCAGCAGCCTGGGCCGGGGTGGCCCTTTCTGCCTCCCAGCGCTCCCAGCAGGGCCCAGGCATGTCCTGGGAGCCAGGTCCTCCTCTGGGTAATAGTCATCTGGCCCCGGGGAGGGTGGGGGTGGGCACGCCCAGGTCTCCCCTGGCTTCCCAGGCATCTGAATGTTACATACTGTTGCCTGAAGTTTTCACAGTTTACAGTTTTATATTTTCTGCAAAGGAAAAAACATGGCATGTGTTTGGGAATTCACTGCAAGATAGTTTTAGCAGGTCTATCATTTTTTTTTTAATTTTAAAAAATATTTATTTCATCGATTTTTTTACAGAGAGGAAGTGAGAGGGATAGAGAGCTAGAAACATGGATGAGAGAGAAGCATCAATCAGTTGCCTCCTGCACACCCCCACCGGGGATGTGCCCGCAAAGGTACATGCCCTCGACAGAAACCAAACCCAGGACCGCTCAGTTCACAGGCCTACGCTCTATCCACTGAGCCAACCCAGTCAGAGCAGGTCTATCATTTTTAAAAAAACAATAACATCACTTCCTATTTTACCAACGCAGATACCATAACAAGGTACACTCACGAGAGAGAGAAAGTGACGCTGCAGAGCATGTGGGCGGGAAGGGCAGGCTGGCCCAGCGGATGCCCAGAGGGACACCTGCGATGGGGAGCCTCAGCCCTGGATGCACCAGCCTCCCACGTCCTGCGCTTCCTCCCACAGCCCTCACCAATGCTGTCCTGCCTTTTAGGGACACCCAACGCCAAGTGCCACATGGAATCTAAGTCTTTTATCTGCTGTCGTCAGGGGCTATTCCGGGCAGACACGGGAGGACAAGAAGCACAGATTACGCCAAATCGCATGTATTTCTGGCAAGTGGCTTCTGAGTCTACTGTGAACAGGGGTGGAAAGCTGGTTTGCCCGACGGGGATGGGTCAGCCAGGGAAGTGGAGGTGTCTGATCCTAAGACTCAGGCTGTCAGCAAGCACCGCCCTGTGTTCTCCTTGGGGCTGGGAGAAAGCCTGCCTCCACCCACGCTGGCCCTTCCAGAATGAACAGAACTGATCTCAGCTTTGGTCTGATGCGCTAAAGCAGTGGTCGGCAAACTCATCAGTCCACAGAACCAAATATCAACAGCACAACGATTTAATTTTCTTTGGAGACCTATATTTTTAAAACTTAAACCTCTTCCAACGCCGCTTCTTCAACATAGACTCGCCTAGGCCGTGGTATTTTGTGCAAGAGCCACACTCAAGGGGCCAAAGAGCCGCATGTGGCTCGTGAGCCGCAGTTTGCCGACCGACCACTGCGCTAAGGGATGCCACGTAAGACACCGCTTATGCTGGCTGAGGCTGCTCTGCCATTTCAGGACCAGAAAGAAGAAGATGCTGCAGAGGGGGAGGCGCTGGGTACCACCACCTCCCTCTGTCCCTGGAGCCAGAGCGGAAACCACACCGGCCTTCCTATCACGAAGCACAGCGACCAGGTCTGCTCAGCAAACACTGAAAACGAGACGTCTTTGGCAAAACAAAGGGCCTTCCTCTCAAAGGGCACGAGGTTCCTTCATCTTAATTGTCCCTCTGATCTCCCAGGCAGGATGCCCGCGGAGCAGCCACCGCGGGCCTGAGGAGCCAGGACGCTGCCCGCATGCCACGCGGAGGGAGAGACGCCGCTTTGCCCTCCGAGGCCTTGGTGCCCACGCCCAGCTCTTCCCAGAAGTGGCACCGGCTGACAACCGAGTTTTCCTTACAACCTGTTATGGCATCTACATGAGCCGTTCTCCTCGCCGGCGTGGGGGGCGGTCGGAAAGGAGGTCCCAGGACTTTCTAACGGCCTTTCCCTCCCCACACGCACTGCTGCCGTCGGGATGGCTTGGAACCCAATTCTGTGCGGGGCTGTAACTGCATGGCAACCCGGCCGCCAACACATCCAGCACCGCGCTCCCCCTTTCCCCGGGATTTCAATGGCTCTCATCAACCAGCACGTCTGAAGCCTGATCACATTTGTTCTTCAGACACTTGAGCCCGGTTAATCAGCTATTCTGTGCGCTCCCCCGTCCATCCTAAGATTCCGCACCCTCTTTGAGATACCTTCAAGGGGAGCTACAAAGACGTGTCTGACTGCGAGCTGGCTCCGGAGACAACTCCATCGCCTCCTGCTTTGAGGTCCCGCAGAGGATAATAGGTGACACAGTCCCAGACAAGTCAAAGCTAATCTTTTTGTTTCTTCTTCTTCCTCTGTACACGATTAAACTGTTTTTTCAAAACGATAGCGGACACATCAGAGACCCCTTGCGTCATGGAACAATCACATTTTGAATATCGATCTTTCCCCCCGCCCCGGGGGGAAAAATAAAGAAGCATCCGTCAAGGTCACTTCTCAAGTTCTACCGCCTTAAAGACACAGAGAAAGGCAGAAGGAAGACAGAGGAGGCAAGACAGGGGGAGAGGAGAGAGAAAGAGCGCCGAGCCGCCCTGGCCCACCAACACAGAAGCCCTGAAGGCCGCCATCGCCGAGCCACGGGCACTCACCGCTCTCGCTGTCGGACTTGTTGTCGTGCTCCGTGTCGGTGAGCGTGAGGGCCGAGTTGGAGCGGCTGGACAGGCAGGAGCTGCGGCCGGACTTGGCGCCCCGGCCCCACAGCCGCATGGCGTGCTCGGGGGACATCACCGCTTCGTTCTCGGTGTCGGCGTCGGACCCTGCACTGAGAGAGTAACCTCTGTGGGGCAGCCCCATTTCCGCACAAAAGGCCAGTCCTCTTCGGGTTGCTGGTTCACACACGCCTAACTGCCTTAGGGTAAAATTCTGTCCTGATCAGGGGGAAAAAGAGACAACAGGCAGTGAGTATCCATCCAGCAGCGGCTGCAGCACTTTTGCTTTCTTTAAAGAAACGCTCCAAAAAACACACCCTCCAGCATTCAGGCTCCTCAGCTACAGGCACCCGGGGTTTGCATGAACACGGCATGGCACAGGGTCAGGGGGATGCGATGATGGAGGGTCGGGGTGGGGGGCCTCCCCACTGACTCTTCACACATCCCACCTAGAGCTGCTTTGTCAACCTTCTAACCCTGTGGTTGGCAAACTGTGGCTCGAGAGCCATGTGTGGCTCTCTGGCCCCTTGAGTGTGGCTCTTCCACACAATGCCATTGCCTGGGCGAGTCTATTATATGTTGAAGAAGTGGCATTAGAAGTTTAAAAAATGTGGCTCTCAAAAGAAATTGCAATCGTTGTACTATTGATGTTTGGCTCTGTGGACTTATGAGTTCACTGACCACTGTTTTAACCCATAAGCACCCCAGAGAGTGGGCTAGTGAGCCTGAGACCAGGAAAACCCGGCCCAGCAGAAGGACTTGCTCTCAGGGATGGAATTCAGCTCAGCAGACTTCCGAAGCAACAGAAAACGTCAGAGTTATTTTCTGTGTCCGGGTGCTAGTGTCAAACAACAGGATTTTCCCACCCAGATATCACCTCTTTGGAAGAGAAAAGACTGCCCTCAAGAATAAGTAGAAATGGGGGCTGGCCAGTCTTTCAGGTACCTTCTCATCTTAAGTTCATCACCAATACCAGCATGTATCATGGGTGTATGTATACTCAGTTTCAGAGTATAATATCTTGAAAATTTGCCAACACCTGACTTTTCTAAATGTTTTGCTTTAATCAACACTTGGACATCTGTATTGATTAGAGCAAACCAGTTCTTGCAAATAAAGTGGACTCTGAACACATACCGGGAGTGTTACGTACTTAAAAATTAATGGTAAAAATCAAGTCCCCTGCAGAAGAAATGGCTGTGAACCCTGCAGGCCTTTCCTAATAAATGGAGCATATTAAAACTCCTGACACCGCAATAAGTTAAAGCAAAAGTGTTTAAATTAGGTGACACTTTCAAATGACCGTTGTTATTAACGACGTTTCCAATGCTGAATTTATTTTTGAAGTTTTGCATGTTTGTGATACTCTGGATGAGAAGACACAGAGGCCTTCGCTTGTAGGATGTGGGGATGGGTGGCTCTCCTGTGCCTGTTGCTGCCATGGGACAGCCCGAGACATAGGTGCCACCAAGAATCAAGATACACGGGAAGAAAATAGTATATAAAGACTGGTTTAAATGCTGCCACATAACACAATCCGTTTAAGAACAGTGAGCATTTATAGTACTCCTAGATTTCATCTTCCTACTGCCTTTGCTTAAAGCTAATAGGCTGGTGTGAGGAATAACACAGATTATCCAGGGACTGCAAAAGTAGGCCTGCAGGTGTAGCACCAGCAAATAATATAACAATTAATAAATAATAATACGAGGATAAATGCTGTGCTTCGCATACTCACAAACAAACCTACTTTTTTTTTTTTTTTTTTTTTTTTTTTGCCCACCTCTGTATATTCAGGCATTATGGAGTGTTTGTGACAAAATACTATGCAGAACCTTCTAGAAAATGAACCAAACCTCATGCACGACGCAGTAACTACTTGCTGGTAAAGACATGAGCGCCCTCCGGGCCCCCACACATTTGAACCGCGTGGTTCATCGCTTGACTCTGCGGTCAGATCAGAAGCTGGAATCGGCTGCATCTCGGCCAGACTTCCAAATGGGTTCTGACAATGACACTCATCAATTATGAAAATCTGCTGCTGCAATTAGCTACCCATCAAACTGCGCTTATCAGAGAGATGCGAATGAGTATCTGAACCAAAAAGTATGTAGCAAAAAAAGGGGGGAAATGGGGAGGGAATCAGGGAAATAGCCTGCTGACCGTGAGCCGGAAGCCACGCTTTCAGAGGCTGCAGGTGTATTTAAGAGTTAGTGCAGATGACACTTATAAATCCATATCCCATGAAGTTCAAGGTTGTGGACCGTTAATGGAAAGGCGGTGGGAGAGCTTCGCTGTTGTTCCTTACACCGTATATTGCATGAAAAGTGGGGAGAGGGGAAGGGACTACAAGAGTTAACTATTACACCCGACACACGCTGATGTTTCAAAATAAGCACACAACCTCCCGTTTAAAGGGTGGAAACGAACGACAGGGTCCTTGGCAGCGTTCCTGTATTTGGGGGAGGCGCCCACATTGCAGAATGAAAATAAGAGAAGTGAAGGGACAATAAAAACTCCCTTCCAAGAGTCTCTGAGATGTAACTTGAAACGTTTCCACGTTAGTGACTTTTCACACTGCTGCCATCGTGATGCAAAAATCTATGAGGTGAAGAAAAGCAGAAAACGGCCGTCTTCGCTATTGGCTGTCCCGGTACGTAAACACAATCCACTTTGCAAACGAGTGTCTGGCCGGTGACCCCTGTGAATTGTTGTGTGGTGCATCCCAAGCTGCTTACGCACCAGAGCCTGGGAAATCAATGTCTCAACGACTCCACACTCCGCGGGGCTGCTGCTGAAAGGCAAGCCGGCAGGCGCGCTGGGGGGTTCCCTGGCCGAGTTCAAGTTTGCTTTTGTTCCCACCAGCAAGGAACACTGAACCTGACCTCCAATGAACCCGCGTTCAAGCCAGCTGCTACTGTGTTTCCCCGAAAATAAGACCTAGCGCATGGAAAGATAAGACATTCCCTGAAAATAAGACCTAGCGCAACTTTGGGAGAAAAAATTAATATAAGACACTGTCTTATTTTTGGGGAAACAAGGTAGCTGTGTTCCAGTCCCTGGATCACCCTACTTTTTTATCTTTCTGGGCTGCCATGGCTTGGTGTGAGCGGTGCTTTATGCAAATGTGGCAGCATTAAAGAAAGGCTTAAAAAAGACACAGGTTAAAACTAGACCCCTGGATACATGACAGTAGTGATCATAGAGAAATGTACAATCCGAGGTGGACAGAGGATCACTGTCAAGTCACATCAGAACAGCCGCCCCCTCTTCCCCCCTCATTCAGGACATCTCTCTTCGCCAGGCCTGCCTCAGCGCTTCAAATTCTGCTGCTGTCATTAATCCTTCTGGGTGATAGATGCTTGCTTGTAGGATTCCGTGCTTTGATACAAACACCTATTATAGTAGAACTAGAGGCCAGGTGCACAGACTTGTGCACTCGGGGTGGGGAAGTCCCTCAGCCTGGCCTGCGCCCTCTTGCAGTCTGGGACCCCTTGGGGGATGTCCACCTGCTGACTCAGGCCCACTCCCTGGGCCTAAGCTGGCAGTCAGACATCCCTTTGGCAGCCCAGGAGCCCTCAGGGGATATCTGACTGAAGCTTAGGCCCACTACCTGAAGCAGGCCTGAGCTGCAGTCGACATCCTTAGCACTGTCAAGAGGCAGGAGAGGCTCCCGCCACTGCCACTGCACTCGCAGCATCAGGCTGGTTTGTGGCTGAGCGGAGCTCCCCTGTGGTAGCACACTGACCACTCGGGGGCAACTGCTGCATTGAGTGTCTTCCCACTGGTGGTCAGTGCGTGTCATAGCGACCAGTCAATTTGCATATTACCCTTTCATTATATAAGAGGACTAGAGGCCCAGTGCATAGATTCATGCACCGGTGCTTCCCTAGGCCTGGCCTGAGCCCTCTCACAATCCAGGACCCCTCGGGGGATGTTGGACTGCCAGTTTTGGCTTGATCCTTGCAGGCCAGGCTGAGGAACCCCACTGGTGCACAAATCTGTGCACCAGGCCTCTAGTATGCATATAAGATCTTTGGTTCATCTTTTTGAGCCCTCCCCTCTTCCCTCTTCTCTCTGAGATCATCAGTATGTTCCATGTTTCCATGCCTGTGCATTGAGCATCTGCCCTCCTGGTGATCAGTGCACATCATAGCTACCGGTTGTACGGTCAAACGGTTGGCCGGTTGCTTAGACTTTTATATATATATATAAATAAATTTGTCTATGAATTTATTTCCCACAATGCAGCAGTGTTTATCAAGATGGGCCAGGCAGCTAGAAAGCACACACAGGCAGTGCTAACAAGCAGAGGGAAGATGAGCAAAGCCAGTTGACTGAAGGCCATTGCAGCCAGAGGGTTGAGGGGCTGGAGGTTGTTGAGGGAGGACTTCAAAGCCACTGCTAAGTGGAAAGACAAAGGCAGAAAAAGGCAGCAACGATGCGTCTGAATCCAGGCTACAAACCTGACCATCATGCTTTACGTCAGCTTTGGCTTCAATAGACCAAGAGATAAGGATGCACTTATCTTATTTGCCGTGGCTTCTTCTTATTGAGGTCTTTGCAATGGTTCTAATGGCATTTTCTTAATTTCTTTCTTTGCCCTTTGGAGTCTCCATGTGCAGTCTGTTTGGCTGAGGCTGGTGGAATAAGTACTAATGTCCTGCCTGCTGAATGCTGGTGACCTTGGTCAGCAGGGCCAGCACAGTCTCCCATTGCCATTTGAAACAGACCCAACACAATACATTGCATCCAGAGTCAAGTCCACCCGCGGATGAAATCCATTGTGATTAAAAGGTAAGCTTAGCTTGGATGAGATTAGACATTTTTTATTTTATGACGCTCATACATTTGAAAATATGTAAAAGAAAAACTGAATGAACACAACCTAGGAAGGCTGTATCATTAAAAAAAAAAGCAGCCCACATTTTTAAAAACGAGTGAGGGTATGTGACAAGGTGGAAAAGACCATGTGAGAACAAATGTTTCGGGTGAACCTGGCACACGGCACAGCTGGCCCTGTCACAGAAGGGGATTGGGTAGCGGTTTGGCCTCTTCCTCATGCAGTGTCTACAATCTAGTCGGAGCAGGGACGGCTTTGTCAAAGCTGCAATGCAATGATGTTCCCCAGCAGGCAAGACATCTACTTGTGAGTTCAAAAGAATAAGACTGTACATGAGGGACATGAGTGCAACTGTCATCACACTTTTGTCACCCTC